ACTGTATGAAACACATTCAAGATGTACTAGGGCCGCCTTTAATGTTACGGCAAACATTAAACAATGTCTGCCATGAATTAGCGTAAATAAGGCCATAAATTTTCGCCATTTTTAGCAGATATATTTTTATTCTGCGTAGGTTGGAGTCTACAGTGCCGCCCTAGGTCCCTTTCCCTTTTGCGGAGGAACTCTCATTGCGCCTAAGTGGGTTTTGACGGCTGCTCACTGCATCGTTGTTGCCCTGCAATGCCGACATGCCCCATATGGTCAACTCTTCTCCTATTCTGATGTCAGGGGCTATGATATGGCTGTCAGAGTGGCAGACCACAAATACACACAGCGGGGACGTCCAGCCTACAACGTGCGAGTGCAGGGCATAATTATGCATCCCTTCTTTGGTGGAACAAGCGGTGGCTTTGACATTGCACTACTGAAATTAGGCCGTGAAGTCAAGCGATGTACGTTTCATGACATCAGTCTTTTTTGTGCAATCTGCAGTAATATGCGCATTGATTTTAATATTTTAAATCGCGTAGCTGTTGTCAAGAAATATATATGAGTGCAGAGTTTTGCGCAGCAGCTAACATTGTCTACGTTGTTTTTGAATAATTTTTACCCATTTGTTGTATCCCTTTCTTGCACCCCTTTCTTATCATGACTTTTATTTCTTTCATCATTATCAAATAGTCACTCATCGCATTTCTACAAAGTATAAAACATCATCGACGTAAATTGCAGAATGTCATAATAAGAATTTTACTTCGTCCTCATACTGCAAGCCGTTATGACCCTTCCCCTCTAGTAGTATATGCATGTGGTTTAACAGCCCGCAATATTTAAAGGCAAAAAAAAAGAATCAAAAGAGCGAATAAAAATATTTTTGCAGGCTGTCAGCAAGTATCCTGCTAAAAATTAGTGTTTGCTTAGTGCAAAAGACATATATTTAAGTCTTAACGTAAGGACCTTAGTCAAATTCAATGCGTTTTTTATTACTTAATTTCTTCAGTTTTAATAGACATGAAATATACTACAGCACTCCACAATGGAAGAATAAAACCATCTATCTCAACTTTACTGTGCATGTATATGATGACGGCGGTGTAGACGTATATGAATAAGGTATACTTTCAAGCTTGGGCGTTAGCTTTTGAGCGCACTTATGATAATCCAACGTTCGTAGTCATATATGGATGTCTAATAGAAGAGGAGACATACATACATATTCAGAATATAGATAACGATGTGGCCCGTCTGTGTGCGCGCTTGAATTTAACTTTCCGCATGACATTGCTATATTCATTTTTTATCGAATCTAAAAAATTCGCTTCTTAACAGTTACACTCGTCATATAGCTATAGACTACCGATACTGTTTGTTAAACCAATTATTTATAGAACTT